TAATTGGCCCGTCCCCTTTTTCTCTGATTGGGCAGCCAATGCCCTCCCTCATTTCTTTCCCGCACCTCCCCTTCTCTGGTTGGTCTCTCCCTTCCTTTTTTTTTTTTTTACCCTAGCCACTCCCGTGGCTTCCTTTCACCAAGACAAGGCTCCCATAAATTTGGAGCCTTCCAGATTCATAGCAAAATGACTATTTTGCCCTTACCTTCATTCGTTTATAACTCCAAATTCCATTCTGTTTGCGCTCACACGTTCGTATCAACATGTACCATCCAAACATGTAAAGAAATCTGGAAAAATATGTAGGAATAAAATACGACCACGTAGAATTCCGTTTAGTTCATTAAGGGCGTTTTCATCCTTTTACTTATCAAAAAAAATATATGCCGTAAATATGAAAGCGTCGAAACTACGAATATAAATACGAAATACAAGATACGTAATTTTAAACAGTGAAATCCGGGAACAGGATTTCACAATTTGAGTACTCACCTTTTGATTTTATTCAATGATAAATTAGCACCTATTTTATTATTTTAAAAATAGTAATGGACATGTCATTAGTTTTTCTTAGGCCTTAAAAAACAAGAAACAAGTGACAATTTTTGATTAGGCCAAATCAGAAAGTTAGAAAGTGAGTACATAAAATACTTGCTAATAAGTACCTAAACATTTTCCATTTCGTTTAGTATTTCATCCAATGATACTGAATTTTTTTAAGGTGTTCTTGGTTGTGTCGAAATGTCGCAAAAGGGATGAGAATTTTTTTTCTCTCAAGGTCCTCCTGCACTGGATTTATTTGTGTACATTTTATATGGGTCTAAGTTGAAGGTTACTTGTGAAGAAAAATATGAAAACACTCGTCCATTTCATCATTCAAAATATCTTCAATATAGTGGATAATCCTATCCTAATCCTCTCTATCTAAATGAGGACTATTTGGATTAGTAATATATTACCCGTGCAAGCAAAACATTTATATTTATATTTTTTACTTTTGGTACAATGGAATTGTGAATTTGGGATGCAATATATACCATTTAAGCTACTAGGACATTGTATACACCCGGATATACATCTGGTGCATTTTATAGCAAAGATCATATGAGTGCTATAAGAACAACGAGGTGTGTGCATCCGTGCAGAATTAGGGGCGAAACAATGTAGAAGGCCAGTGGGACCTACTTCTGTTTATTTATGTTATTTTTCACGCTACAACGCTACAACTGAGCTTGAATTTTAATCTCTCTCTTTCATGTACTAACTCTCAATTTTGCCAGTTAGTACTGTTGTCTAGTGACATTCATCTTCATTTGTAAGTGAAATATCTTAGATTTGATTCTTGTCAAAGACAAATTTGACCATTAATTACTAGTCCATTGTGAGGCTTAGTATTTAGTCCACTCTCCTACCCCTTATTGTAGATGATACGTGCGTGCATGCATGTGCGGGAACGAATGGTGTTCGTTATATTATCTTGGTGCACTCCGAGGAACCTACCTGTGCGCACAGACTCATTTATAAATACTTTTAAAATCATTGAAAATGTTTTGGGTGAAAGTGTTTATGAGTTTTAAAAGTACTAATATTTTAATACGAAATTATAAATAAAGTTATCTTTTATTATTTTATAATATAAAAAATACTAATATTTTAATACGAATTGCCTGTACTGTTCAGTTTAGGATGGAGATGCACTTGGACATTTACTGTTCACTGCATACAATTACAATTATTGTTCATTTAATGGAACTGAGTTGCCTATTACTTAGGAGAGCCTAGCAATGGTAAAACTGCTGTTAGGGGGGAACAATGTAGAAGGCTAGTTGGACCTAATTTTGTTTATGGAATACTTTGGATCAGGTCCTTAATTCTTAACATTCTTTAATTAAAATCTTAATAGTATTCAAAGTTTGATTAAGGTCCCTTGACTTTGTCAACCTCATTATATTACTATTAATAGTTATAGTTTTATAGTTTTGACATTAATTATTTGATATTTTATGAGATTTATAATCCTATAAATTTAAAATCCCTCATTATAATACTATTAGAAACGGTTACAATAAAAAAATTCAAACTTTTTGATTGAATAAATGGATAAAAAACTATGTAAAAATGAGAAATAATAAATGGCAAAAGAATGTATCCATATTGTTAAAAAAATTGGTGCATTTCACATATAACAAAGTGGTACATTAATAAAGAAGAATGGGTACATATAAATAAATTAGGGTACAGATAAAAGATTAAAAATTATGAGTACAAAAGAGTTTTAAAAAATATAGGCGCTAAAAGAAATTAATACATGGGTATAAAATAAAACTAAAAAGAAAAGGCTTGTTATATTAACACCCCACAAAATGTTGATTGCACCTCACATTAAAATTAATATTAAATCACTTATTTAGCCCATTATGCAATGACAATTTTGACTTTATTAGGTTTTTTAAAAAAATAAAAAATTTTAAATACACCCCAAATCACTTTTAGTGTATTATTTATCTTCTCAACTATCAAAACTCTCTCCTCCTCCATTGTTGAACAAAACCCTAACTAATGAAACTACAAACATGTTGATTGAGAAAAATTGTTTTTGACTGAATGAAACACGAAATCGATGTTTCGGAAGCTTCACATGAGGTAAGACTTCATATTTTTCATTGTTTTAGCGATTTCGATGACATCGATAATTATTTAATCTTGCGTTTGCTACGTTATTTAAACTTCTATAGTTATATTCATCTTTTAGAGTACAAACTGAGAGCATGAATAGCATTGGACTTGCTTTGTTAGATTATAAGTAAAGTATGACCTAATGTATGTGTTTTTTCCTTTCTTTTTCGGTCTCAGGTTCGTACCGAGGAGTAGCTAACGGAAGTGATTGCAACAGCAACGGGGGAGAAGAAATACTGCTTGTGCTTCGTTGAAGTGATTGTTCACAAGGATGACACAAGCAAAGAGCTGCTTGAATGGGGATCTAGGGTTTCTTCTGCCAATAGCCGCCTGCCAAATCCTCAATAAAAAAGCCATGCTTTAGAATGATCTCAAAAAATCCAAATTAGAATAAGATCTTAGTACTTTAGTAGATTGAATTATTTTATGGATTTTCTCATTTACTTGGATGTGGGGTGTATGTACAAAATATAAGATGTATATTGAGAGTGTGGGGTGTGGGGGTATTATGGGAAAGTATGTGAGGTGTATTAAGATAATTTTTAAGTGAAAAAGAAAATGTGGAGTGTATTAAATATGTGGGGTTTATTCAACAATTTGTGGGGTGTTAATATAATAGGCCAAAGAAAATACTACAAATTAAAAAAAAAATGTTGCAAATTAAAAGTGTGGTACAAACTAAAAATATAAATATATAATACAAAGTTTAGGCATAAAACATAACTATACCATATGTAATTTTTATATCATTGATTAAATATACAATATCACATGACGGTATACACATGGGTACAAACACAAATAAAACTTTAAAAAATATGGGCACAAAAAGAAACTAATATATGGGTGCAAATTAAAAATGAAAAGGAAATTGGTACAAATTAAAAAATATTTGCAAATTAAAATTGGTACAAACTAAAAATAAAAATATATGATAAAAAATTTAGCCATAAATATAAATATTCTAATTGTAACATTTTAAATATATTCAAAAATAAAAATATTTTATTATTCAAATAATTAATGATGTTATTAATACCCCAGAACCTTGATAAAAAATTCAAAATGAATAGGATTTTAATAAATAGAGTAACAAAAAGAAGGATATAAACCTAATTTTCCTATGTTTATTATGTCATTTTTGCCGCTACAATTGAGCCTATATTCTAACATCTATCTTTCACGTACCAACTCTTAATTTTTTATTTTTATAGTTTTTATATTTTAGTTTTGAATCCCAACTAAACAAAGCTCGAGGTTCTAGCCCAAAGCAGCCAACAGACATTTGAAAAACAAGTCGTGGCAATAGCAAGAACAGACAAAGCTTTCATCGACCCCTAGATCATAGATGGCTGCCGAACTATGTCTGACTATGTCAAATTGTAAATAATTAATAGTATGATGTATGTACGTGTCCACAGATGATGGGCAGATACGTGCGTCCGTGCATGCATGTGCAGGACCGAATGGTGTCCGTTATATAGTCTTGGTGGACTTGGAGGAACCTACCTGCACAAATAGGACCCCGTGCATTATCATGCACGCTACTGTCCTCATGGCACATATTACGTGTACAATCAGCCGACAGCTTCTTTTCCGAGCAAATGTTTTTATCTACACTGAATGAGTGGGAAATAGGTTAAGTCTTACAATAATCAACCGATGATAATGTAGTTTAAATTCGTCTTTAACGAGAATAAAACCTAAGATCTCTTACTTACAAGTGAAGAGAAATAACACTAAACTATAGTACTAAATGACAGATGTAAATTTGTATTGATTCTCATACATAATAATAACGAATAATCAATGATGTAAATTTGTTGTGACGGACATTTGTGTTGTCAAAGAAATAAACGGGATGGAAGAAAAATCGACATTGTCAAGGGAGAGAAAGAGAGAGGCAGAGTCAAGAGAGAGAGAGAGAGAGAGAGAGAGCAATTTCGACATGAAAACGGTAATCAATCGGTGCAGTTTGGTCAGTTTTGGCTGAACCTTTTTGGCAATATCCATGAATGAAGTATCAACAATGCCTCTCCACAATTGCGAAGAAATGTCTCGTCAAAACAACTGATTATATAATAAATTACTATGTACAATAAGATACGAATGGTTTTAATCAGTATTTAAAATATCAATATTAATGAAAATATCGATATGTAAATTTGTAAAAATATTAACGAAGGTATTAAATATCGATACCGGAACGTAACGTTAAAGTAGAAGTCTTGTGCGTGCACATCTTGTCATTCCGCTGTGTTGTGTTATATATAGTATTATCATTGTTGCATTAGCACAATCTTGGTCTTTTCATTAATTCTCCAAAACATTATTATGAAATGACGATCCTCAAAATCTCCAAAAAACACCACAAGCATTTGAACAATCCATTCCCTTCTCCACCCACATCCCTCCCTCTCCTCCAAGGCAACCTCCTCTTCAATTCCCAAACTCTCCGCCGTTCTTCGCCTCACCATTTCCCACTCGGCAGCGATTTCCACCTCTCTTGGACCTCCACCGATGGCGGCTCTCTCTCCATTCACCACCGATCCCACCCCAAGAGAGCCCTCTGGTCCACCCTCGCCGGCCACCCTTTTGTTTCTGCAGCATTGGCCGAAACTGAGGTGGAAGAAAGCAGGGGCTCCTTCCTTGTCAGAGACACAAAGCTTCATCTGGTTTGCAATCACCAAACCATTCAGGAAATAAGGGCGATCAACAATCACGATCAGCTTCCAGATTCTCCATCTGGGTTTTTTGGATTCGATCAGAAACTGGATTCCCCAGGTACCCAATTCCAATTCCCGATGGTTCTTGTAACTGGCTGGGTTTTCAATACCAAAACAAGGACGAGGATTTCTCAGAGGGCATGTGAGGGGAAGGGGCCTTCTACTTGTGCAAAGTATTGGGTTTTGTTTGAGCAGAAAAACAGTGATCAGATTGGATTCCGGGTGAAGGTGGGACAGCCCAACTTTGAATTGAGCACAAAAGCTTGTCCAAGCAGTGGTGGTTCAGGAAGATACAAGGGTTTTCGGAGGAGGCTAGGCCGGTTTCAGAAGCGCCGGCTGCGGTGGTTCTGGTCATTTGCAAGGCCAAGAGGGTTTGTCTTGGTTTCCTCATCGGAGGAAGAGTTGGAGGAACTCAAGGCTCAAGAGTTCAAGGAATTCAACAGGGTTTGCTTGACATATTCGAGTGACGAAAATGAGCGGTTTTTCGGTTTTGGGGAGCAGTTTTCTCATATGGATTTTAAGGGGAAGAGGGTTCCCATTTTGGTCCAGGAACAAGGTATTGGGAGAGGGGATCAACCTATTACTTTTGCAGCTAACTTGATCAGCTATAGGTAGACACAAGGATATCTTAGCTATTCAATTTTCAACCATGTTATAATTCTAATTTCTAAGTAGATTTTAACTAGACAAGTTTTGATTTTTTATACATTACTTTCCTTCCTCATTGCAGGGCTGGTGGCGATTGGAGTACAACGTACGCTCCTTCTCCATTCTATATGACTTCCAAGATGAGGTCTCTTTACCTCGAAGGATATGAATATTCCGTGTTTGATCTAACGAAGCACGATAGAGTTCAGATTCAGGTATATTGTTAGATAACCATTGCATCTTGCAGTCATACTGTCATTTTAACTCTGGAACTGATTCAAACAAAACAACTACACAATTTCGTGTTCGGGTCAAATAGATAACGAAAGGAAGATCTCAATGTTTTATTTCAATGAGTAGCAAGAATTAAGTTAGATTTTAGCATTCACATATGATGCCAGATGAATAAGGACTATTGCTTATAATGTAAATAAGGATCTAAGGATTTTGTTTAAAGGAAAGAAAACGAAAACTAAAATGGTCTCATCTCGTTTAAGATCTTAAACTTGCAGTTTCCGATTTACTTTTTACTGGAGCTTGCAGACACATGGAAACTCAGTTGAAGGAAGGATATTGCACGGGACCTCACCATCTGAGCTCATTCAATGTTTCACTGAAACCATTGGAAGACCTCCCAAACTTCCTGACTGGATTATTTCCGGAGCTGTTGTTGGCATGCAGGGCGGTACAGAATCAGCTCGCCATATTTGGAATGAGCTCAAGACTTATGATGCTCCCATTTCAGCATTTTGGCTGCAGGTAATGCACGTCCCTGCACCAGAAGTATATGCATGCAAACAACTACAGACACACATGTTGAGATGATTTCTTGAGTTAAATAAATGATTATCTGCAACTGTTCAACTTCCACCGGAGGCGTGTTTTGGCATAAACTTCCGGAGTTTTGAATTACAGTGCTAGTATGACTACTGTACGTATGCTTCTTAACTTTGTAATAATTGTTGCACAGGATTGGGTGGGCCAGAGAGAGACGTTGGTTGGATCACAACTATGGTGGAATTGGGAAGTAGATTCAACAAGGTATAGGGGATGGAAAGAACTGGTTAAAGATCTTAGTGCTCAGCATATTAGAGTGATGACTTACTGCAACCCATGTCTAGCTCCGGTACTTATCTTGTGCCTCAATGACGCTCCTCTATAAACCCTTCTCGTACAATTCCCGCAATCACTCACCTGTTACCCATGAGTGTGTTTTATAACTTTAATAAACTTTTACTTGATTTCAGTGTCATGAGAAGCCAAACAGAAGGAGAAATCTCTTTGAGGAAGCAAAGAAGTTGGACATATTAGTGAAAGACAGGCATGGAGAAACGTACATGGTTCCAAATACAGCTTTTGATGTAGGAATGTTAGATTTGACACATCCCGATACTGGAAGTTGGTTCAAGCAGATTCTTCGAGCAATGGTGGATGATGGAGTCAGAGGATGGATGGCTGATTTTGGTGAAGGTCTTCCAGTGGATGCAACCCTCTATTCAGGTTCCAAATCCCAACTTGATTCTTCAAGAGTCCTTTTAATGTTACAATGGCCTCGGTCACTGTGTGGTACTTAATTCTAAGTGCAAAAGCATGCGCGAAACAGAACCTCTATGCATGATTTCACTTTTACTTATCTCTAGTAGCGAACAAATCAGGAAACACATAAGAGCCAAGAAAGCTGAGTGTCAAAAGATTTGGGTTGTCAGAAACAGATAGGGCATTTGCATGCTGGACTGACTGTCTTTAGCCTGAAATGTTATATAGCGGTTTCCCCTCCATCATTCATCACGATGTATAATATTACTATCTTATCAGATGAAACCTGGAAAATTTGTGCCATAAGCAATAGTGAAGGCTCAAACATGCCTCATGCTTTATATATTTATGAAAAGAATACAGAAAATTTTCCCTTCACATTGCACATGGTTTGAAAGTTGCATTCAGTGACTTAGAACTGTCAAATTGTTCTTTTAGAGCAACTTAGAATGCAAAGTTAATAGCCTTTTGTTTTGCACTTTACATCCCAATTCTAAGGCCCCAAATTCGGTCTCTTGCATGTGACTTTTCATAATCTAATAATTATAACTCGTCATTTCAGGTGAAGATCCTATTTCAGCCCATAACAAATACCCAGAGCTGTGGGCAAAAATTAACAGAGAGTTTGTGGATGAATGGAAAGCTATCCATTCGAGTGAGGAGAATGAAGACCCCGAAGATGCATTGGTGTTTTTTATGAGGGCGGGTTACAGAGATAGTCCCAAATGGGGATGCTATTTTGGGAAGGAGACCAAATGGTAAGTTGGCAGACTAATGATGGAATAAAGAGTGCTGTTGTTGGCCTACTCAGTAGTGGACTTTCTGGGTATGCATTTAATCACAGTGACATTGGAGGGTACTGTGCTGTAAACTTACCTTTCATTAACTATCGAAGAAGTGAAGAGTTGCTTTTGCGATGGATGGAGCTAAATGCTTTCACGACTGTTTTCCGCACGCATGAAGTAAGTTCAAATCTGCAACCTGAAATACAAAAGAAGCATCATCATTATCATTAACCATTGTCAAAGAAAGCTAAAGCTACAATGTTGGTGTTCCTGAATAAAACCTTCATACGCTTACGTTCTATGATGTTATCAGCTACTGATTTAAACATCTTGTGCAACTAGGGAAACAAGCCATCTTGCAACAGCCAATTCTACTCAAATGACCGAACTCTGTCGCACTTTGCACGGTTGGCTAAGATTTATAAAGCTTGGAAGTTCTACAGAGTCCAGCTTGTACAGGTAGTTCCATGACTTCTTGTATACTACACTAGTTTACAGCATCTAGCAACTTCACCAGAAAATCTGACTAGTTGTTTAACTCTTTGAATCACAGGAAGCCGCTGAAAGAGGTCTGCCTGTATGCCGCCACCTATTTCTGCATTACCCAGATGACGAACACGTCCATAACTTGACCTACCAGGAGTTTCTAATCGGCACCGAGATTTTAGTGGTGCCAGTCCTAGACAAGGGCAAGAATAATGTGAAGGCCTATTTTCCAAGAGGAGAAACTTCTTGTTGGGAACACATATGGAGTGGAAAACAATTTCAAAACAGGGTTCCGAAGCAACGGTAGACGCTCCGATTGGGTGTCCTGCTGTATTTGTTAAGACTGGCTCCATTGTTGGACAGACGTTTTTGAAAAATCTTACAGATCTGAAGATTCTTTGAGTTACAGGGAAACCAATTAGCAGCATTTCATCTGGCATATTGGGCCGATTGATACCCATTTCGTTTTTATATTCGCTTTTTATGTTAGAGACGGAAGAAACGAGACGTACAAGAAAAGACACAAAATAAAAAGTAAAAGCCAAAAACACTTTCCTCTCTCATCATGTTTCTCCATTCCTCCTTTCACTGTACAGTTTCTTCGTATTGAAAAACGAAATAGTTATCAAACGAAACACACAAGCATATAATTCAGAAAATAACATAAGAAAGTAGAGAGAGAGAGAGAGAGAGAGAGAGAGAGCAGAGCACAATCTTGCATGTGTTTGAGGAGGTGAAGTTAGCGATCGTCTCCGAAATTGGGAGGGGAGAGTTTTTGATGCTCGTCTTTTATTTGAGCTGATTTAGAGACGGACTCTGTTGCTCTTGCTGCCGATGGATTCTAATACTAGCAAGCATATTCTCTCTATAAATAATAAATATATATATAAACATGGCCCAAAGGGACCCAGTTTTATTTATTTATTTAGTTTTTTACTTTCTCTATTTTTTGGTATTTGTTGTTAATATCATATGTGACAGTATCTAATGATTAAATAGTGAATATATGAAGTAAATAATGTACCGTAATTAAGTTCAATATTTTCAAAGTTGGAATCATAGCTTCATAAATTTACGTGTATTGAACTGAAATCCTAAATACACACAAATAAATCTAATTGGCTCCGACCTTGCGTATAAAAAGCTATTTGTGAGCTGCTAATTAGAGTCGAAATGTAAATGTGACACATTAAAATCACAAAGAAATTTACGAAAAAAAGAAAAAAGTTTACAACAACGGTTTTTTAGCCTTCTTCAAAATTGACACATTAGAATTCTCGTTACCTCACTCGAGTGCCCTATAATATAACTACTGTCTGCAGTTACTCAAACTAACACCTTTTTTTTTCTGCAATAATTACAAAAACAGAATTTCCTACAACAAATATTAAAATTTCAGAGTCGTCCCAGTAGAAACGTAAATCTCCATATACAAGGAAACAGAATTCCCTACGAAAAAATACGAAAACCTCTAAAAATCTACCTAAAATATAGAGGAGCAATTCCATTTCCATGCATGGTGCCACACGCAGTGTGTTTCACAGCTACGAATCACAATACGCAACATAAAAGCCTGTTCGATCACTGTGCCAAGAGCTTCTGCTTGTCTGCAAAATTGGTATACAGGTTCACAACTCGTCTTCCCTGGATCAATGGCTTCTTTAAATATCCAACTGATCGAAGTTGATCATGTTCGCAGAATTCTTTATGAGCTCCTTCCGGTAATCCACCTAACACAAAGATAAGTACAATATCTATGTAACTGGCATTTCACTAACGATATATTAGTTATGGCATCTGGGAAGCTGAATGACTTCGACCTTAAAACAAATAGCCTATAAGCAGTATGTTTCTATATTTCAAATCCCGTTATGACGACGGGTGAATAAAGATGATACAAATGTAATTTAGTTCCATCATGCATATTTCCCTACTATTTAGTAAATAACTTGGCCGGACTCAATTCCATCAGTGTTTTGGATATTTTAAGACACACCGTAATGTGCACACATGCTAGAGACAGCGAGTGCTTTCATGATAAAACCTTGTAGACAACAGAGTGCCTTGGAGTCGCTTTCGATTTTGATAACTAAAAGGTAGTCCTTAGAAGGCAGCCCTTGCAAATATAAGCGCCAAATAGCTTCAGTAAACCATAACTCAGCAAAATAACCTTTATACACGCTCTACTTACCTGAGCACCCATAAGGGACGAAAACACCATGTTCGCCTCAGCAGCATCCTCAACCCCTAATCGCTTAAGAAGCCTTTGCTCGGGATTCATTGTTGTTTCCCATAACTGGGCGGGCATCATTTCCCCCAGTCCTGCATTGCAACCATAACAACATGATAATTAAACAGCTAGTAACATAAAAACATAGGGATGTCCTTTATCCATAGAAACAAAAAGATTAATAGATGTTTCCATTAGTATGCCCTTGGGATTTATCTTGGTTTACTGTTTCCATTACGCGATAGAACAGATGATTGTCAAGGGATTGTATAATATAATAACCCTAACGCAGAGAGTGCTGCCGAGGTAGACCCTGTTTAATCATGGGATCTATTTTAGGATTATATAATATAAGGAACCAAGCTTGAGTAAAACCTAGCTCACTTGTTCAAACTTATGAAGAACAATCATAAAACCAGGTAATACAAGACTGTATAACAAGTTTCTATGCAGTTAAATTCATTAATCAGATTTATAGTTTTTATACATGTATCATTGATATTACATTTTGAACGAAAAGCCATCTGTTGACATTAAAGAAGATACCATTTACGTACTGATGATCATTTCCTAGCTTAAGTTTTTTGGAGCCAATGTTTTAATATAGAATCGTAGCTTTAGTTGCCCACGGTTCGAGGATGAAAAACCTCTAATCCCTTCTCCCGCACTTATCCATTAATCTGCAAGGTGCAGGATGGATGTACTAAATGTTTTACAATATATCTGACTCTGTCAGCTTCCTCATGTGCAGGAGGCAGCTGCATGTGAGGGAGTGTGTTGGGTTGACATGCGTTGTTGACAGCAGCTTAAGTTTTTAGGATGTAGAGTGACTGACGGGTCGATGTTGATACAAAACATTGACTGAGGGGTTAATGTTGATACAAAAGAGTGACTGGCGAGTTGATGTTGATGGTTTAGAATTTAGGTGGCCGCTTTTGGTCCAAACCGGAAATCTAGCAGAAACAATTCTCACTTAGCATTTGAACAAAACATGTGCTGGAAACATACTACTATGAATTCTAATATTTAAACATGTCACCTAGTGAAGACGAATTGCCTCTCATCTAGTAAACCGCAGAAACTTAAAAAACAAAGTTGACCTATTAATGTCATTGACACCAATTGTAGTCATCCAGTAATCTGCTTGTACATATCATCTCCTCTATATAATTTCACACAACCATAACATTTTAATACAGTCTAAGGCATGAGGAGGGTCAACTGACCGTTGTGGGCACTAATGGCTCTGCCACGCCCATAAGGACCTACTGACTTGAAAATACATATGCCCTTAGAAAATTAGGAGTGCATTTATCTGCCACTGACTTCAAGCATTGAACCATATAAACTTCAGTTTCATAATGTTCATACTTCATACTAACCTTTGAACCTCTGAATGTTGTAAGGCGCATTCAAAAGGAAGGAGTTCTGAAGCATTTTAAGTTCAGCTTCATCATAGCAATATTTGGCTTGCTTTCCCCTCTCAACCTGGTCATTTCAGCAAAAAACAATGAACTTAACTATATACTTGTTTGGGCCCAAAATAATATTATTGGGCCGAGCGTTGGTTTATGTTTGGCCCAAAGCTTTTCCAAACGTACTATGGGCTATCTAGTGGTCATAAGCTGCTCAGTTAGGCGGTCAAGTCCTATTGCAAGAAGGAGTGATTTGGATAAGAGTGGATGGGTTGAAGTCCTAGTACGATAAGGAGTCTCAATGGAGCGAGGACGTTGAGATTTGAGAAGTGAAGGTGGCCAAATAAAGAGTTTGGTTCAAAGTCCTAGTAGGAGTAGGATTGGCCGAGCCCTGGTTGGACTAGGATGAAGAATCCTAATCCGAGTATAGTTCTGATTCGGCCAAGATGAGATTGGTTGTTATAAATAGGAGGGGTGCATCATTCAAAAGCCCCTCCAATTCAACACACAAATTGCCCTGCGCAAACCTCTCAAACATCTTGAGATTTTTTTATTTTCTTTTTTTGCCAACACACCTTCAGTTTGGATAAACAACACTGTGAAGGCAACCAGTGACATCTTCAGTTTGGATAAACAACACTGTTGCCGTAGAATCAGCTGTTTCTGGAGCACCTTCAGTTTGGATAAACAGCATTGTGTCAAGGCCGACTGGTTATCTATCCAAGTCTCGGTCGAGAAGGATTTTTGAATCCTTATTGGCAGAGGTAATCTCATTAGCCATCTCGGCGAAGTAAGGTGTTACAGGTTACTACATTCGGCACATTGAAAGCCGAATTTGATATTGAACTTCCCAGAACTAGCAGCCTTGTCTTCAGGCTTAGAACCCGAAGGCCGAGGTGTGTTCCTTCCTCGTTCGCAATCACAAGATCAAGAAGTCAGCAACGCGCTCAACGCAACATCAATACATTGAAAGACGTACTTAGCTTATTACTTACTCGGCCTGCGCACCACGTAGGCTTGGTAGTTTTTAGGGTCAACATTTTGGCACGCCTAATGGGATCCAGTGCTACAACTTCAAAGTTCATAACCATTAAGACACAATCAGTAAAAAAGAAACCAATCATAGGAAAGTCAACAACTGCTTGCTGATTCAGGGCCCTGGACAAGATTTGTCACAGGTTCAAAATCCCTTTATTACTGTGACACCTGAAGCTGCAAATGCGACGCATCGAGAAAAGGAAGTTTATCTCGGTGGCCAGCCTCGCAATGCAGAAATTCCCAACAAAACCACATGCATTTTAATCGAAGGGATAATGGAAGACTGCTGGAATGCATGGAAATGAAGGAATAGGTGCCCTTAGCCCGGTATTCCACCCACTTGAGGGTATGGAAGAAGAGAAAGAGCAGAAGAGCTACGAATAGGATCACTTGGAGCTAGGTGCTTCTCCTGTAGCTGGCTAGTACCTCCTCTATTCCATTTCTCTGTCCTAACCCCCCTACAAAACCAAAATATCCATTGCTCTCCTGTCCTGGGATGAGGAACGGAATGCATGTTGCTACCTTTTTAGCATCCTCTCGAAAAGTAGGTTACCATCGACTAGCATCATAAGCGGGAAGGAATGCAATCTCTTTTCCCCGAGTGAGAAGGTGGCGAGAAAACCATTCTCCGTCGAGTCACGTTGCTTCTCCGTCTACTTCAACGGCGCTCATCGGCCACACACACAGAGACGCATGTGGATGCGAATCCGACATGAATCGAGTCCCAAAATTTAGGTAAGTGTTTATGATTTTTCACTAGGTTTTTGTTCTTTAGGGTTTAGGATCAAATTTCATGTTGATTAACTTGATTTCTGAGCATTTTGTCAAATGCGTGAGGGTTTGAGGACTGTGGGTTTCAGATTAGAGTGAATGCAGGTTT